TCTTTTTTTTTTTTTTTTGAGACAAGGTCTTGGGGGTTGGGGACATAGCTCAGCAGAATAAGCACTTGCCTGGCAAGCTCAAAGGCCTGAGTTCAATCCCTGGCTGGAGAGAGAGAGAGAGAGAGAGAGAGAGAGAGAGAGAGAGAGAGAGAGAGAAACAAGGTCTCACTGTGTAGCCAACCAAGGCTGGACTCAAAACTCAGGGTGATCCTCCTGCCTCAGCCTCCAGAGTGCTAGAATTACAGATCTTTACTATCATGCCCAGCTTGACTTTCATTCTTCATTACAACAGTGCTTACTTGGAGAAAAACTAAACACACACATGCACACACAGAGACAACTACAAACACACACCTTTTCTTCCATGTCCCCTCTTTATTCCGTACTGTGGCAGTTAACACAAAACTGGCAGAAAGACCTCACCCTTGGTCAGGAGTAAATGTGGCGGACCATGCCAGTACTTCCCCTTGCAGACCCTCCTGCACAAAACACCCTTCCCTGTTGCCTGAGCCTCCTCCTCACCTCAGGAGCTAGCTGGGGTCTCTTTGGCAAGAAGCTCACAGAAGACAACACTCTTCCCAGCTGGATTCTGCTGCGTCCCTTAGGTATTGCAATGTGCTGGGATAGGGAAAGGCAAGAAGGCATCCAGAGAAAAAATAATGAGCGAATGTGTGCGTGTGCATGTGCGTGTGCATTTGTGTGTGGGTGTTTTTATCCAATTAAACCCAACAAGAGCCAAGGACCCTTTCACACCCAGCTGTATGAGACACAAAAGCGGCAGAACAAATATATGGCTAGCATATGGCCAGACATACGTGGGACCTTCTAGACCTTCTGGCCCCCAGCTGGCTAAGGAGAAGGGACAATTATGAAAACTTCTCTCCTCCATTGCAATCTCTGGGCTTACAACCCAGGTTAGGCACACAGAAAAACCTTGGGGCAAGGTAAGAGAGAAGCAGCCCATGCCTGCTATGAACACCTGTGGCATGACAGTTTTCCTGATGTGCTCTGGTGTCCCCTACATCTCCCCTTAGCCCTCAGCCTATGTGTGTTGGGGGTGGGGTGGGGTGGGGCTCCAAATGAAATCCCTTCAGCTTGGGTGGCAGGAAAGCCTGGCCACCCTTTGTATCTTATCAATACACACTGGGCTCACTGTCTGCACCCGCCACTTTGTATCTCCTCAAGTGCATTTCAGGGTTTGCACCGAGCCACCCACACTTGCTGAAATGGTCTTTTATGTGACATACATTAACCGAACAATCGTCCAGCCTCTGAGGGTCAGTGCATGACTGGGGAATAGAGAAAAAGGCGTCTTTGCTCCCCTTTCTGCTGCGCCAACTCTCCCCCCCGCTGCCCCTGCCCCCCTTTGAGGTCTAGCTCGAGCCGCATCCCTCACAAAGCTTTCCCTCCCTCTTCCAGCTGTTGCTGACCTCAGTGTCCTGGCCGAGCTGGCCTCTGCTCTGAGGAGTACAATTAGCACCTGACCAGCCACTGGCCTGGCCGCTTGTCCTCGCCTCTGATTGTTTCAGTGTCTTAGTCATCTCTGGCCCACCACCTCCTTTCCTCAGCTGCTCCACAACTCCTAGAGCATGTTACGCACACAGTAGGTGTTAATAAATGTCTGTTGAATTGAAATTCAGCAACCCCTATGAGGTCAGAACCCTCATAAGCACCCGACCAGCAGTTTCTTGGCAACCAGTGCTGGGGCCCCAGCGGCTGGGCATTAGCAGCACAGCCACTATTACAAGACGCGCGAGGCTCAGCAGCCAGAGGTTTACCGGCAGGTTGGTGTTGATGAGAAAAGCCCCTGACCCCCAGGAAAGCACCCATGGATTCTGGGTACCAGCATGAGTTTCCTTTCTCCCCTGCAGAACTAGTTTTCAGTCTGAGAACCACAAAGGGAATAAATTGGCAGTGAAGCCAGAAGCCTCTTTTCAGCTTAGAAATCCAGGCGTGATAACCAAAGCTGGGGTGGGGTCAGGCCCAGGCCTGAGGGCAGAAGGCTGACCAATGCATTTTCCAACTCAGCGGGTGGGGGGACCCCAGGGAGATGAAAAGGGCATGGCAGATGTGAGCCCTGACACTCCAGGGAGTTTGGAGGGTGACTCTTAGAAATGCCATCCTGTCCTGACACCCAAAAAATCACATCCTGAGTACTTGTCACCTGCAGCCAGCACAGAAACCTGTCTTCCTTGCCCTCTCACTCACCCAAAGCCCAGGGCAGGCTTACGGCATGGGCAGCATCCGGGCCAAGAACCTAGCCAGGGTCTCCAGACAAGGAGAAGCCCAAGCCTGGGTTGACTGGCTCTTCATGCTGGCTCAAGGATTTAAGTCTGGCCTTAAATTATGATTATTTATACTGATAACTTACCTTGGTCTCCCCCACCCCAGCATCACTCTAGCCCACATAAGATGTACACAGGGGGGCTGGGGAGAGAGCTCCGTAGAATAAGCATCTGCCTGGCAAGCACAGAGTCCTGAGTTCAATCCCTGGTACCACCACCCCCCCAAAAAAAATAAAAGATGTACACAGTCTTAGAAGGCAGGTGGTGTCTTCTTCACATCCATATTTTCCTCTCTGCCACTTTTCTGGAGCCCAGTACTGGGACTGGCTCCCAGCAAATGTTTGCTGAGTTGAATCTGAGTTTTAGGCACTGTATTAGATAAAATCACTTAGCCAGTTCAGGTGTACTGTGTGTCATACATGGTTCTAATGAGCAGTTTATATGCAGAACTTTATAAAGTGCGTCTCCTTTGCTAGATAAAGAAATTGAGGTATATGATTGGGATCACTCAGCTAGTAAAAGTCAAAGCTGGGAGTTCAACCGAGCCAGGCTGGCTCTAGGATTGGAAGCAAATGAGAAAGTTAGGGGCCATGCCCATACAGAAGGCCATGACCAAGCTCAGGAGCAGAGGGTGCCCTAGGAAAGCAATAGCCTCAGCCAGTGGCTGGGCCTCTCCAAGACAACAGCCTCAAGCTTTGCAGAATTATGAGCATTTTGAACACGCTATCAACCAGGCTCTTGACAGACAACCCAAAGCACCCTCATTTTTAGATCCCAATATATGTGCCACCACTCAGCACTAGGGAAGGGAGGGTGGATCTAGCCCCCGCTTTGTCCAGGGGTGGGCGCCAGTTCCTGAGTAACCACCGAGCAAACAGTGCAGCAGAGGGAGAAATGCCAGACATAGTTGCAAACAAGCCACTCCTTCGGCTCACAGCAAGAGGCTGGGTGAGGGTGGCAACGTGGAGCCTGCTTCATGCTTCCCTGCAACAAGATTTCCCAGGCTTTGAAGCCAGCCCCAGAGGTAACCACATGCAAGGCAGCCTCTTGCCCCACAGCAGCCCCCAACTCCACCAGACCATCTTCACACAACTGCAGATCACTCCTGCTAAGCTGCTTCTGCACTGTATGCAATGAACTAATGGTTGACGAAACACTTTTTAACTGGGAAAACCTTGCGGAGCTAGCTGCAAGAAGAGGTTGGCATTCTTGATGGGCATACGTGTTCACTGGGCATTTTCAGTGCCAAAGTGCCCTGTCTGTCCGGAGGGAAGAACTAGATCAGTTCCCTTTACCTCCTTCCAACCTGATATTCAGGCCTGGGGTCAGTTCACAAGGGTTGAGTCCCCAGTGGGTGTGCCCACCAGCTGCCGGGCCAGCGGTGTGCCTCCGACCCTGGGGTGGTGACCTCACTTCCGCTCTGACCTTCCCACCTCCTCAGCACTCCTCCCATTTGAGGCCCCACCAGGCCAAAATCGAGAAGTCCAAGGTTAACTGTTCCTCCCCACTTTAAGAGCTAATTAAAATGATTAGCTACAGTGAACTGTCAAACATTAACCAGAAGAAGCTGCAGGACCAGACAAGCCTCTATCTTGGGGAGAGGGATGAGGGGTAGGAATGAAAGGGCCATCAAATCCCTCGGCTGCTGCTGGTGGGGCACCTGGGAGGACCTCACTGCGCCGCGGAGGTGCCAAGGGGTCAGGAGGTGAATGTGGCCTGAAAGGCCTAGTCCCTGCATACAGTTGCCTGAATAGAGTAGCTGAGTTTGGGTGCGGTGGGGAGGAGCCAAGAATCCGTAAAGTGGCTGCCGCCTGGGCAGCCCCCAGACATCCAAAGCAAGACGCTGTCGTCACGGGACCCCGCGCTGTGCAGCTGCTTATTCCCCTTGGTGGTAGCAGGGGAGGGAACAGAGAGGCGGGAGAACCGGGAAAAGCGGGAACGCGGAGCTGGAAGACTGGCCGCCGGCACACACGGAAACTACACACCCTGCCAAGAGGTCTCTACTTTGGCGATTTAGTTCTCCAAGTACTAAGTTTCCACGCACGCGCGCGCGCGTGTGTGTGTGACCCTAAAGCACCTGGCCCCAGAAGCCCTAGGAGCCGCCTCGCCACAACTCTCCCAACCTCCTACCCTCCGGCGCTGAGCTTCTGGGCCCCGCTGTCAAGATCCGCCCTGTCACGGAACCTAGGCTGCTCCGGCACAGAAAAACTAGCCCTCGATCCCGACTCCGAAAATCGACTGCGTTTCTACCCCAGGGTCGGGAGCCTGGTTCCCCAACATACACGCGGTGGGGCGAGGCCAGGGCACCACCCCCCACACGGCGGCTCTCCTACCTTCTCGGGGCCCCCAGCCCCACTATGGGGTCCGGACGTCCTCGATCCCGCCCTGAGGCAAACTTTCTGAGGTCCCCCAGGACGCAAAGACTCGGCGCCATCGACGTACCTGAGGCCGAGTGTCTTAAGGGCCACCCCAAGTAGCCGGGTCAGGCTCGGTCACCGTGGTCGCGTCCCCGTTCCAGGGGCTGGGACGCCGGTCCCCTGCCTCTCCAGCCCGCCTTCTCCCCTCGGAAGCTGGGCTGGTCAAGTGGCGCCGAAGCTCGGCGCCAGCGAAAGGAGAAGTGGAAGTTGAGCGCGGTGCCGGGTCGGTCCCCGTGGCGGCCAGGGCCGCGGTCCCCCTCCCGCCCTACCTCCCTCTTTCCTCCCGGCCGTGACTCACCTCGGCGCCTGGGCAGGCTGGTCCGGGCGGGCGAGGCGCAGGGCTCTCCCACACGTCGCGCCGCCAATGGCAAGTTGGAGGGAGAGATGCAAATACCAGGTGAGACCGCGGCGCCCTTGATAAAAGGAGTCGGGGGGCGGGGTGGGGCGCCCGGGAGGGCCGGGCTGGGACGTGGGAGAGGGCGACTGGGGCGCCCGGGGAAGGGGTGCGAGTCGGCGGAGACTGTACCGAGACGACCGAACGAAAGGGGAAATTGCGCTAGAGACACTCGTCCCCGCAGCCGGCGGCTGGGGCGGGTGCGAAGGAGGCTGGGCCGGAGGGAGGGAAGAGCCGGAGGGAGGGACCGACGGGAGGGACCGCGGGCGGGGGTGGAATGGAGGAGGGAGCAGGGGAGGGACAAGGCATCTCGGTGGAAACAGCGCCCCTCCACCCCGGGCCGCCGCGGTCGCCAGCACGGCAGGGGGAACAGTGCCAGGGGCCCGCGCGGCCTCTTTCCCCCAGCAGCACGCTTGCCTCGGGGACAGCGAGGGCAGGGCTCCTGAAGAGCCCTCTTAGCTTGCCTCTGCCCTGGCCAGCGCCCCCTCCCGACCCTGCTCACAGTCAGGGTCCCCAGGGTCTTCACCTCTGACAGCGCCCTTCCCAGGGGCGAAAAGCCCTCGCAATGTCCCACAGAGAAATCCATTAGTTGGGGGCTCCGGAAGACTGAGTCCAGCCACCTCGGGCCTCTGCTCACTCGACGCCTCTGGCCCTGGCCCTGCTCTGCACATTGTGAGACAGGGCAGCAATAGGAGAGGCCAGGAAATGCCTGGAGAACACAATTTGGGAAGAACATGTCAAACTTCCCCGCGGAATCCCAAACCAAATACATCGTCAGGCTGGAGTGATTGGAGTTACATGCACTCCTAGGAGAGAGAGGGGCCAGGAGCATAGGAATCAGGGGAGGAGCTGGAGGGAGAGGGGCAAATGCAGCAGGTGCACGGGAAGCCCGAGTTGGGACCCAGGGTCAATGGCGAGCTCACTCCTCTCCCACCCAGAGCCAAGCTGCTTTCCTTAAGGAGCCCACCCTAAAGGTCCCCATTCTTTCTCTTTGCTTCTCCTTTGACCTGGCTCAGCATCCATACTAGCTCCCACCTGGTGCTGCAGCTAGGAGGCTCTGGGACAGCTCTGCAGTCAGGAGGCTGTGCAGCAAACTGTCACTCCTTGCAGCTCTCCATGGTTCGGAGGAGGGGCCCAGCCAGGCCTTGGCCTTGCTAGAAAACAATTGCAGGAGGAAGGAGGGACCTTGGGGAAAGGAGGGGGTGGTGGAGGGGCCTGCTCCCATGGCCTTGGGAAAGATGATCCTTGGCACAGGCTTGGGGATAGGAGTGGCAGGGAATGACAGTGGCAAAGGCATCTGTAGATTGCAGGTTGCCAGGGAAAGGTCTAGTAGCTGGACTGGGGCACTGGCCCTTGAGACTGCCTGGCTACCAATAGCCAACTCGCTGCAACAGGCACCAAGAGCAGTTTGCTACATTTTCTTTGCTGAATGGACATACTTTCCTCAGGAGATTCCAGATCCTGGAGACACACAGTTCTGCACTGGCCTCTTGCCTGTGAGGCTCCCCTTTCAAGTGTGTGGTAGGTCTCAGAAGTCCCTAAGCTGCTGGTCCCTTGACCTTGAAACTCACTAGCACACACACACACACACACACACACACACACACACACACACACACTTTTCCATTTTGCTAAGGGTTTGATGATTTCTAAGGACAGTACTAGGTTCCTGTCCCGGGTCCACCTTGTATCAGGCAAATGAATTTTTTTCTAGTTTTAATTTTTTTCTTTTTTTTTGTATTTAGTATAGGGGCTATAGGGTCTCACTATGTAGATTGGACTCATAGTGATCATCCTGTTTACAGCCTCCCAAGCGCTGGGACTACAGGCGTGCGCCACCATGCCCAGTCTCAATCGCCCTTTCAGTGCACCCTGGGGGAAGGGCTGGCACGGCAGGCCTGGGGATCAAACCCTGGGCCCTGCATGGGCAAGTGACTTTTGCCAAGTCACTTAAACTCTCTGAGGCTCACTTTCCTTATTTAAAATTTGGGGATACTGGCAAGCACAAGGGCCTAAGCTCAATCCCCGGTTCACAAAAAAAAATTAATTAATTAATTAAAATTTGGGGATAAGAACCTCCCCCCAAGGCTGTGCTGAGGAGGGCTGAATAAGACAATCCATGTCTGGGCGGGCCTCGCAGCTCAATGGACGAAAGCGCCTGCTTAGGCAGACACAGGGGCAGGGGATGCAATCCCCCAGGCCTGCTGTGCAGGTCAGCCCTGGCCCCAAGGCACGCCAAGATGGTGACTGAGACGGGTGTGATAGCACATACCTGTAATCCCAGCACTTGGGATGCTGAAAACAGGAGGATCATTACAAGTTCGATCGACATAGTGAGACCACGTAGATCCTGTATCCCCTGTACTAAATGCAAAATAAAATAACCTATATCTAGGGCCAAGGATGTAGCTCAGCAGCATAAGTGCCTGCCTGGCAAGTGCAAGGTCCTGAGTTTGATCCTCGGTACTGAAAAAGCAAAAAGATAACCTATGCCTATGGCAGTGCCCGGTGCTTAGGGAGCCTTTAATAAATGCTAACTGGGCCAGGGAGATGTCTCAGTGGAATAAGAGCAAGGGCCTGAGATCAATCCCTGGTTCTGCAAAAATAAATAAATTTTAAAAAATAAAAATAAAAAATAAATGCTAACTATCTTCAGCATCATCTTCACCTTCATCTTGTTTTCTCATGCCAACTTCAGGAGCAAATTCAGCAGGAGAAAGCAGACAGAACCTGCTGAGGACTCCTGGTGGAGCCCTCCTGTGAGCACCTGTGGTAGAAACCAAGACTGAAGCCTCAAGGCAGCATTTGAGGTCAGGTCTTGCTCTTGGGAAAAGCAAAGAGATTCCCACTGCAGACCAAGTCATAGTGACCTGAACCCTGTGCTCCCCCACTGTCCCCAGGTACTCCAGACAGACAACAGCACCATGATCAGGTAGTTATAGACAACATCCCTCCTCTTGGTGAAAATCTTGTGTTGCCCTCACTTTGGGAAGTCATGAGAATGACCTTCCTGTCTGCCTTGGTCCATGACCTTGCTGCTCCACAGCTGGCTGGGCCTTCCCCACCTGGCCCCCCACTTACCTACTGGGTGAGCCCCAGCCAGGTGGGGCCAGCCAGGTTGAGATCACCACTGTCCTGAGGACAGCCACACTGTCTCTGCCAATGGCTCACTCTCTGACTTGGCAGGAATTCCCCTTCTCATGTTGCCTGTGATGCCGAGGCTGTGCCACCCTGCACTGCAATCTCAGCCCTTCTGCTTCCCCCGTGTTGCCTAACTCTCTAGCCCCAGCAGGCTGCTCTCTGACCTCACAAGCTGGACCCCACCATTTCTGGAATCAGAGGGACCTCCTAGCCACCCACAGCCTGTGAGGACCACCACCCGAAGTGTCCATTCAACTTGCTCACCCACCTTGACAAGTGTCCAAGATGCTTCCCCTCTCTCCTTTTCCAACAGAGCCTGAGAGTCCATGATGTTCTGCAGAGCACCCCATGTTCTCTGGAGACAAGATGGCTGGTTACTTCCTTTCTCGCTTAGCCCTTTGTCCTCAAACAAATACTTTTTTTTTTTGAGACAGGATCTCACTATGTAGCCCAGGCTGGCCTCAGACTCACAGAGATCCTCTTGCCTCAGCCTCCCAAGTGCGGGGATTACAGGCATGCACCACCACGCTGAGCTGGCCTAAATAAATTCTATTCAAACCTGTGGCTAGAACACCACAATGCCACAGCTTCTGTAGTCCTGACTTTCCACCACTGACATATGCAAGAAAAGTTGCCAATCTATCAAACCTTTGGAAGCAGAAGCATATTCTAAAGGCCAAAGAGAAGTTATGGTTTCAAAGGATCCTCCCTACTGGAAAGCTGAATTCCCATGACATTTTCTGCAAATCCAGTCATCATTCTTCTGTTGTGTTCAGTAAGTGAACATTTGCTTTTGTTAGGTTTACCTGAGCAGGGCCTATGTATCCCAGAAAACAAGCAGAAATCCTGAAGTCTTGGACTGTGGTTTGTTATCATAAGCAGTGTTCTATTATTATTATTATTATTATTATTATTATTATTGTACCAAGACTCAAACTCAGGACCTTGCACAGCAGTGTTTCATTAAGTAGCTGGAAAATAGAGTTCCCTGGGATAGATTATACTGAAGTTCCCAGAGGACAGGATGACAGATCACTGCTGTGGTCCGTGGTGGAGGCGGGATGTGTCCAGGCTACAGCAAGGGCAGGCAGATGAGAGAATGATGGCCATCTTCCTTGGCTGGAAGAATGCCTGACTGGGGCTCTTAGAATGCCACTCAGTCCTCCCACCCCACCCTACTGAGGACCAAGGACCTAATTTGAGTTTTTGAGGCAAGGTCTCACTGTGTAGTCAAGGTGGCTTGAGCTCCCTGTCCTTGCTGTCCTTGCGGCTCCTGCCTCAGCCTTCCAAACGCCAAGATTACAGGGGTGTACCACCACACCTGGCCCCTACAGAGTTTTCAGTGATTACTTTGAAAAATTCTACATTTGCTCTCCACACAGGCCTGAGCTCCACGAGAGTACCGACAAAACCTCAGAGAATGCTGGGTCTTCCTGGTAGGCTGAACAGACGCTCAGGGAGGCTGTCTGGAGGATATGACAGCTCAGCAGGAGATCCCACTTGCCTGAACTGGCACTCATCACGTCAACTCTGAGCACAGTGGCTTCTGGGAAGTACTGTCCCTGCCACATTTACAGCCAGGAGTGGGGTTAGTGTCTGGAAAAGATTCGGTGCCCTTTGTGATCCCTCTGGGATGGGGGAAGATTGGAGAAGTGGAAAGACACAAGCTTGTGGTTTATTTGAAAGAAAGAAAAAAGATGAAGTTGCCCTAGCAGAGTTCATCAAGTCCCCTGGTGTCTCTAATCCACTGGACCACAGTCCCATCTTAGAGCCAGAACACAGGTAGTTGAAGTCTCTGAGGCGAGGCACAGGGGCAGGCACTTGCATTGAGCACCTACCAAAAGCTATGCAACACTCAAGAGATTGGGGCTATTGTCTAGTGGAGTCAGAGTTAACCCCTCAGCCCTCAGCATCTGTTGGCCCCACTCCTGCTTTGTGTAATCCTTTTGACTTCTGTTGTCCTGAGTGAAGCCAACGAAGCTGGGCCTC